ATTTTAAATTATGTGCTAAAATATATAACTTCTTGGAACTAAGCTGGAAAAATAATTGAATGTCCATTTAATTATAAACCAAAAGTTAGCTGTTTTTTAATTTCATTGGTGCATTTTAGATGTATTAATTTATTGGTCTGTTTATATATTTCTGCTTTTCAGTTTTGGTCCTCCATACTTACTGAAGACGAGGCTTAATCCATCTTCCTCTTCACCTCACCATCACTTGTGAACGAGATGCCCAGATACTTACACAAAGCTACCAAATATGTGTATGAATAATGCTAAGAATATTTACATACGTCAGAGCTACTTCCATACCTTGAGCCTAATATTAAGCCAGTCAAGATCTGCCCCTTAACAATAGACAGGGGTGGGATGGGTAAACCTCCTGTTTAAAAGACAGTACAGATGAAAGACCCAGATGGTCAAGGTGCAGTGTTTGAACAATGTTAACTTTCTATAAACAAGRTGATGGCTTCACTAGTTACCGTGTACATGTAAATAACAGTCACTGAAGCTGAAATCCTCTGCTTCTAACATAATTTATAACCKTTATGACTGTATTCATAACTCTTGACAGTGTTATGTAGTTGATTGGTGCAGCGTGAAGTGGACTTATGGAGCCAAGCAGTGAGGGGATCYGACTGTAAACACATCTGAGCTAACCAAGCAAGGTGTCAACATGCTACCAAATTAAAAAAAAAAAAATCCAAAACCTAAAACAAAATAACAAAAGGCAAGCACTTTTTGTAAGCAATTTATAAAAGAATGTCAGATGATTTTCTTCTAGTTTCATTCAAAGTGACAAACGATGTTTGTTCTACAAGTTTTAATACACATTTGAAACTAAACGTATCTCAGAAACACCTCACTGCTGTTCATTCAACACTCACAGCACTAAATGTATTTATTATCAAAACAAACAAAAATATTAGAAATGGTTCTCTGGTGGGAATAATTTACAGAGGAGTAGAAAAAAGCAAGATTTCTAATTTTGCTTAAGTTGGATAATTTTTTATTGGAAAAAAAAAACACTACGTGAATTCTAAATCTACGTTTACTCCTAATCTAGTGTTTTAAAAATACATTTCTATTATCCTATATAAATATTTCAGGACTTTGCTGTTATTTGGAGAATGATGAGTGACACGTCATGTAGTCAATTATTTTGTTATAATCCAGTAACKTTAGTAGAAACCCAGTAAAAACGCGTTGGTTTAAAAACAAATTGTGGGGTTTGAGATAAACTGCAAAATAGTTGCACAAGAGGAGCACAAAGTTTAAATTAGCTGCAGCGAGGTGGCTGCCATGTCTCCCGTTTTTAAGTCAATCACAACAAAACACATAGCGACTCAACATGTTAGTTTGACTAGATAAGCGCTGACTGAGAACACGACCAATCCATTATCACAATGTGTTATTTATCAAACAAATGTCAACAGAGCTATTAAAATCTGCCAAAAGTGTTCACAATGCTGCTACGTTTTACTACTGTCATATTTTAAGGAGGGACTTTAGATTAAAAAAAAATTTCAAATTATAACGTTTTTACAAAATTTTTCATGAGCATAAAATAATCAGTTATAAAAAAATCGGGATATACAAACATTTGCATGTGTAGATAAATTTGTAGTCTTTTTGGTTAGATGTACAGACTTCATACTCATACACGGGACCTACAGGCAGCCAAAGGTTTGTGTTTCATTGATTAAAACTAAAAAGGACATGTTTACAGTTCAGTCTGTTGCTCAGTATGAGCAGCGATGTGTAAAAACTGCAGGAATGTTGACGCACTCAACGAGAGAGTTTTTTATTCTCCACGTTATCCAGGTTCTGATGTCGGTAAAGGTTTAATATCAGATCTCGAATTTCATCTCGTTTCTTTCGGATCAGTTGCCTCGGGAACCATTTTTGAAGGTAAAGAGGCAGGTCAAAATGCACTACAGGATCCTGAAAACAAAAGAAACAATCTYCTATGAATACACCATAAAAAGTCATAAGCTCGAAAAGATATTAGAGTATAATTAAAACGTGAGAGATCTTTACCTTTAAAAAACACTCAACATACTGAAGGAGATAAAGGCCACAGTCGCTGCTGTTATCCTGCAGGGGAACTTTGCAATGCGAGCTTTTCATCTGATCAGGATTAAAGTCYCGTGATGATCCTCGACGGGCCTCCCATTCTGACTGCAAGTACCTGAAAAACACACGCGTGGCGTCTCAACACACAAGCAAACACAAAACAGACGRATCATTTCAGCGTTAAACTTACTCTCGTAGAAGCTTGAAAACTCGCTCATGAAGAGAAAGTTTGAGGGAATCCATGATGAGAATACACGGCCTGCAGACAAAAAAAAGACACAATTCAGTCCAATTCAGCTGTGGCGTAAGTAAAAAAAAAACTAAAATATGTTGTGTTGGCTATGAAACCAAAGTGCTCTGACACTGCTGTTATTAGTTTTGATGTGATTTTATTGAAGATTAYATTATTTGTCCCATAATTATGATGGGAAGTACTGCTGACTGGTTGCTTCTGGCTGCTTTCTACAAACGTGTGGGAGTGAAAGTGAGCTTTTCTGTTTAAATACWTGATTTCCCTTATTTTGAGATGAGATAGATGACTTGTTATCTTGAGAAAATACAATAAAAGTACATTTCTAAGTCTGGAGGGAGGTGCACAATTGTAAAAAATTTTTTTAAATAACCAGCCTTCATTGTTACTAAGTGTGAACTTAACTTCATAAAAAGGCACAAAAATAGTCGTCCAGGATATAAAAGCCAAGGTTTCAATAATTCTTTAATTAGCAAATCTCCTTTGTGTAGTAGTGTCTGGAGTGTTTATGATGCTGCTGCTATTGTTTGATGTCATCCAGTAGTTAAAACAATTTAGAACAGCTGTCATACAAAAACAAAATATAATAAATAACAGGACAGAAAAAAATGCTATCAAACATCCGCACCAAGGCTTGTAAATAAAGCAGTAAGTGTGTGGTGTCCAACTCACCTCTTGCAAACTGTATTTCTCTGACATGTTTGCTCTGTGCAGCTCTACAAAGACAAAATTAATGTGGTTTTAGTAAAGTAAATTAAGACACAATTTTAGAAAATCATGAGCCTTTTAAATGTGGACAGGAAAACGTGTCCTTACAACTGGACAGGGTGGTGAATCTTTGGTGGATTCATCTTGAGTGTCTGAACAAAATGTGAAACAAAACAACAGTTTGGGTTTTTTTTTTTTTCATCTTAGTATCACAACAACGTTCATCCTAACACAGATGTGTACCTTTCTCTGAGTCCACGCCGTCACTGCAGTTTGACGTCACTGGGGTTTCTGACTCAGTTTTAGAACATTCTTCAGCCTCTTCGTCACCAAGTGCCTCTCCTGCCCGGTCCTCAAGTTTTGGCTCCTCCAAGCCAGGAAAGCAAATAACAACTAAATACCAGTGAGCCCTAAATAAAAGAAAACAAAGAGAGCGCAACGTGACACATTTAAGATTCAATAAAAAAAGACTATACAGCACTTTTTTAATGCATAGTTAACTTACTCCTGATTGACAGGCACAAACAGGAAGTCCTTTTCAAAGATCTCCACATGTCGAGTCCATGTCTTTACTCGCTGGTGCCGCCTCTGCCTCTGACAACTGGACACACACAGAATAAAACCTTTGACAGTACCACAGGAACGTCTGATCAGCCTCTGATCAGGCTAACAGCACGACTAAGACCGAAAGACTCAACGTCAAATTAAAACTGRGCGGAAAATCTGTTTCCACAAATTGTGTTTTATTCTACAACTTCCTGTTGAAACATACATTAAAGCTGCCAACAACTGTATTCTGTTTTAGCTTTTGAATTGCTTCCAATTTCAGATTAAAAAAAGCCAACTTACGAGTCATTATTACCACCTTCGCTGGCATTGTCCCTGCGTGTCAGCTGCTTGTAGAAGAAACTGCTGAAGATGTGGCAGCGCTCTGCAACAGCAGCAGATGTATTCTGGATAAGGTATCTGAATTAAAAAAAACATTTTGGTCATTTTAGGTGCAGCTCTGGTCTCAACAAAATCCAATAATTTTGCAGCTATAAAATACTTCACTCACTTGAGATAAAAATCGATGATGACATCATTGAGGTACTGCCCAGTTTCGAGGCACTTCAGGTCTTCCATGGTGACAGTTATTCCTCCTTTCAATGGCGGCGGAGGAAACTGGATCAACCTAAACAGAAAAAATGGACAGGATAATAGGAAGGTTAAGATAAAAAACCAGTAGCATTAGAGGTTTGTAATTGAAGTCAGAGGTTAACACCCGTCACAGCGGGCTGCCTGGAGGATAACGTGGTGAACTTGCCTTCGAGCCAGACCACGATGCTTATATTTAATCCAGTTGGAGTCTGGTTTATTCAGTGACACACAGTAGGATCCTTTTGTTCTTCGATGGCAAAYGGTGTACACAGGCTGGGCTTCTTCCTTTTTGCTCTATGGACATAAATTCATTTTATAAACCAGAGGAATATGTAATAAAGTGCAAGATCACAGATAAAAAGGATATACAAAAACTGTAAGATTACCAAGAAAGTAACAAACAATATTTAGAAACCATGTGGCTTGTTTTCACAGTTTACATTTGTTTAATGGGACAATATTGTGGATTGAACATAATTAGGGGAACATTCTGATTTAACAACTTAGAAAGTGGAAACACAAGTAGACTGCTTCAACTTAAAGAGTCATAACAAAAAGAAAAAGAAAAAGATTTGTAACCCCTTACATCAGAGGGATTCTCCTGCTCTTTTTCTTTCTGCTCCTCTTTTGGGTCAGTTTGTGTCTCTGTGTCCTCATTTGGTTCAATTTGTGTGTCCGTTTCATCTGGTCCCATCTCCAGCTCCAACTCCTTCTGAAAGTCAGCTTCCAGCCAGATGTGAGCTGTGGGAAGGTCGTCTTCATCATAGTCTGGACAGTCCTGGTACTGGTTTAGCTGAGGGTCAGTGCTTTGTAAGCCCAGCATAGAGAGCAGATGTGAGTCCTGTCCAGTTCTTGTAATCAGCTCTACGCAATCACCCAGAGAAAGAACTGGAGCGCTGAGGTCTGCAAAACTACCAAGTAGATTTCCACTGTGACCTGAAATAATTTGTTCATGAGTCATATTTCTGATACAGTCAATGTCCAGCACAGAACGCAACAAAGCTCCTTCCATTCCCTCCAAAGGATCTTTGAGAGTCAGCAGGATGAAGGGGCTGGCGTTTCCTATTTAAACAAATAATCAATAAAACACACATCAAGCAAAAGTGGTTTTGAAATAATTAACTAAATCTGCAGCAGAGTCTCCAGTATTCTCACCTGTATTTACGGATCTCTCTTTCTTGACACATAGATGGCAGAGGTCCTGCTGGATGGCAACAGCAGCCATTTCTGACACATAAAACAGCAGGATACCAGAAGAAGGGTCTTCGTCATCTTCAAACCGAAACCCACACAGGTCCAGCTCCTGCTGATCCCAAATGCTGTACCTCTTCAGCTCTTTGCGCTCAAAAGTCAACATCCCATGGTACTGCCCACTTGTGTCTGAGGATAAAATCAAATAGCACCGTTTTCTTTTATTTAAGCCAAACTCTGTTACATATAATTTTGATTTGCGAGCACAAACAGCAGGAATAATATTTCTGCTAGAATCCTCATGAAATAAAAAAGTCATGTAAGTTTATAATAATATATTTGATTTAAAATGGCAGAAATCCATTTTGTTTTTGTCTTTTCAAACTAATCAATCAAGCCAGTCAAAAACAAACTATTTCTTCAAAGTGGGGTTGTTTTAAAAGCTAATCTCCAGGCCCACTTTTTACCCCACTTCATAATATCTGAATAATCCCCTTAAGCACATCTCAAGTTCTGTTTCTACACTGAGAATTTATTAAGGAGTGAATAAACTTCTGTCAATTTATTTCCAATTAATGAGAACAGCCCCTGAATAGACACAATTACACAGAGTTCTGTGAAGGCATACCCATTTGAAGCACAGATTCTACACCTCAGATGTGAAAGTGTTGGTGTGCATCTAAAAGCTTTAACTTTTTTTGTTTTTATAGAATAAACTAAAATAGATTCCAAAGCTTGAAAGGGGAAGGACAGAACATGACTAGAACAATATAAAAACAGGCTGCAGGTCGCAGAGAAGGTAAAAAAGTCAACAGTCAGAATAAACGCCAATTAAAGACTTTATATCAGGGGTGACCAACCAGTCGCTCGCTGATTCCCAGGTGCCTGCGCAGCGCAACCTTGCTGCGGAGCCTCTAGCGCCGGCTTTGAGCGTCACATCCCGGAGCGGCTGGTCTTGTTGAAAGCTCTGGTTCTGCCCTACAAGGCGAAAGTTGAATGAAGTCCCTGTGACGTTCCTCCGCGGAGATATAAGCAAAAATACCTCCAAAATTACACACCGTCGGACCTCCCACTGGGGTGATTTTAGCCCCCTTCCCGGGCTAGGAGCATCGGATCCCGGCGTGGATGGTCGGGTTTTAAAGCCCTGGCTCTCCCCTACAAGAAGAAAGTTGAGCGGAGTCCCTGCAACATTCGCCCGTGGAGATATAAGCAAAAAACCTCCAAAATTACGCACCGTCTGACCTCTGCCGGAGGTGGTTTTAGCCCGCCTCCCCGGGATAGGAGCATCGGATCCCGGAGTGGCTGGTTGGGTTTTAAAGCTCTGGTTCTGTCCTAAAAGCTGATACTTGAATGGAGTCTCTATGGCGTTGCATCGCAGAGCTATAAGCAAATTACGCACGACTTAGTGCATTTTACACGCATTTTTGGGGGGAAATTTCAAAATTTGTTTGCTTCTCTCATGGGCTCTGAGCATCGGATCCGGGAAAGTGAGATGACTTTGGAAAGCTGCGGTCCTCCTCTACAAACTGAAAGAGGTTGCAAGTTCCTGGGATGTCCCCCCGCGGAGCTATTAACCAACGACCGGCCGAAAAAGGCGCTTTGGCGGGCAATTTAGTACTCAATTTACTCCAGAGCCTCTAGCGCCGGCTCTGAGCGTCGGATCGGGGCGGGAGACAGCTCATTTTAATGTTCTGGACTACGCTACAACCTGAAGGTGGTTGCAAGTTACTGGGATGTTCACAAGCGGAGATATAAGCAATCAAATGTAGTCGGGCGAGCTCCGGTGGATGAAACGGCTGATTTCCAGCACGGGGCTGCTGGTGCTGATGCAGGGGAATAAAAGGAAGAGATCCAGTGAGGTGGAACCGTGATCCTACGTCCAGCACCCGTTCTCCCGCCTGGATTCAGCCAGAAACCCCTGGTGGGCGATATTTCTGCAAAAATAAGAAACCCACCTGATGGATCACTTCCAGGCAATAAAAGCAAGATTTGATCAGGTAAAACCAGTCCTGGAAGCTCAGCACCGGGTTTTATAACAGCCTGCCCCCTGAACCACTGGTGGGCGATATTTCTGCAATAATGCATAAAATTCAGAAACCCACCTGATGGATCTCTTTCAGGCAATAAAAGGAACAGATCTGATCAGGTGAAACCGGTCCTGGAAGCTCAGCACTGGGTTTTATAGCTACCTGCGAGACAGTTTTATATTGTGTACTTTGATTTTGAAAAAAAAAAAAAGGGGGCGGCACTCTTGTGGTAGCCATGTTGAACCTGATAGATTTTTGTTTTGTTTTTCCTCCCCTGTATGGAGAGAAGAGAGGAGAGTTCTTTGAATAAATGGAGACAAGTTCCCGTGCTCCAAAGTTATTTGACTCTGTGGTTCTCACTGGGCATGTTTTCAGCCCTCATAGCTCACACGTTACAGTGAGTACTAATTGAAGGAGGTAAAAAAAATTATCCTTTTTGTTCAAGCATCACTTTTATGTTTCTCTGTCAGGAGTTAAGTAAGGATTTTAATCTCTTTTTTTATTTGTTGGTAAATATATGGTTAGGTAGATAGTTTTGTTTGACAATACCTTAAATTAAATAAAACTAGCAACACATTATGTTCTGTTTTATTTACTTTAAAGAAGTGAAGAGTAGGGAGACCATATTATGTTTTTTTTTTATACTGAGACCGGACGAGTAGCTCTCGGCAAACTGCCGACTTCAAAAGTAGCTCWTGGTTCAAAAAAGCTTGGGCACCCCTGCTTTATATGATAAACATATACTTTAACTGTAAAATAAAGACTGTAAAAATACTGTAGGTTGTTCAGTTTTTATAATTTTTAAACTAAAAGTTTAAAAATATATTACACGGACGGGGCCATTTTATTTACACGCAAAGCATTCTGGGTAAATGATGACATCAACTAGGTCATCGGCACAAGGCTCCTAGCGAGCTATATCCACCCTGAAGGTTAATCTTGGACAATATCTGACGATGGGCTCTTTTAAATGAAACCAGAGAGCGTTGACAGGGGAGAAGGTAGAAATGACTCAGCCTGTAACTGAAAATATGGATGGAGGACAACAGAGCTGCTTCATGGAAGAAGAACCTCAGCTTAGCTTGTTAGCTTTAGCGTTAGCCCCTATGCTATCACCATATGTGTAGCGCTGAGCTAATACACATTTATGTATTAGCTCAGCGCAACACATTCTCGTCTTGTCACTGAGGTCCTCCATCCACGACAGAGAGGGAATGAAAAAATGACTCAGTCTGCAACTGAAAATATGGATGGAGGACCTCAGTTTAACTTGTTTGTAGCGCTAGCGCTGAGCTAATACATATAAGGCTATATAGCGTCGGTGCTAGCGCGAAGGCTAACAGGCTAAGCTGAGGTTCCTCTTCCATGAAGCAGCTCTGTTGTCCTCCATCCATATTTTCAGTTCCAGGCTGAGTCATTTCTACCTTCTCCTTTCTGTCAACGCTCTCTAGTTTCATTTAAAAAGAGTCGATCATCAGATATAGTCCAAGATTAACCTTCAGGGTAGATATAGCTCGCTAACAGCCTCGCACCGATGACCTAGTTAATGTCATCCTTTACCCAGAATGCTTTGCGTGTAAATATAATGGCTCCATCCGTGCTAAAATATATTTTAAAAAATTTACAAAACTAAACAGACTACAGTATTTTTACAGTCTTTATTTTACAGTTAAAATAAATGTTTATCAAATAAAGCTTGATGTTACAACTAATCGTGGATCCTTTTCAGACAAGATTCAAAGGAAACTAGAGTCATGACAGAATATGAGACAAGGTGGTAAGGTGTACATAATTGAATAAAGTCCATTTCTATCACGAAATTGATCAATCAATAAACAAATGTTACCTTTCAGAGGGATCACGATTTCATGTTTTTCTAGCTGGAACCAAAAAACAAACAAAAAAAGGCATTACACTGACAGGTTTTGATATGTATAAAATACAATATATATCAAGGTTATAAGACTGTGGTCACCGTGAGGCCTCCATTTGCTCTTGCATGGTACCCTCCACAGTACAAGGTGAAAAAGGACACACTTAAACAGGAGAAGTCCACTTCTGGGGCAGGAGACCCTGGCTCTGAGAGAGGAGATTCTTCAACAACTACCTGCAGCATCTGAAACACAAAAACAAGCATGTAATGTTAGAGTGGAAGAACTTTATGTCCCGAAGTTATATATATATATATATATATA